TGCAAGGGAAGTAGAAAAGAGCAACTTGCAAGCAAAGTCCAAGGTGTGAATATGACGACTTAAGGCCTGAAATTGTTTATTTCTTATCATAACAACGTTTCAAATTTCTGACAGGAAACTCAAGAAGCTGAGATTAAGATGTTTAGAAGGACTTTGAACTTCAAAGCAACTCCAATGCCAAGCTTCTATCAGGAACCTTCACCTCCTAAGGTGGAATTGAAGAAGGTTTGATGCATAAAAGGCTAGAAATGTAAATGGCATGCTTCTTAATATTATTTATTTACCTATTTCTCCTCTCTTTCTTTTGGGTGTGGGGGGCTGAGAGGCCTCAAATTCGAAACGATGCATATAGTTGCTAAGATTTCTTAAGTTTTTATCATTAGGTTTGCCCACCTTTCCACTTTTACACCTGTCATTCAAGCTTTTGCATGTCTCTGCTCCATCATCCTACAGCAGCTGCTTTCTTTTCTGCAGAGTGCTGCTGCTTGATGCTTGAGTTGGAAGTAGTACCTACCTCTGTGAACCGTTTCTGTTTAGCTGTAGCTGATACATTTAACTTATAACAACTTTAACCGATTGACAATGTTGTGATCATTAGTGAAAGTCTTTCTGAATGAACCTGAGAGCATAAAATTGATTCATATTCCAGATGTGCTGAGATTGATCAATCCCTGTTAGTTATGTCATCTACGCATCTTTCCCTGGAGTACCTTGTACCAGTCACCATGCCCTATTAAACAGTGGCGTGTAATGTCAAAGCTACATTACTTTTAAACACTGTAGCCAAGTAATATCATAGTTTTTGAATGATGTTTTTTAGTTGTTGATGTCATTTATTTACGTGACAGCATGGGTTTTTTAGGACTTTGATTTATCTGCTTTATAAATCTCTTGAAGGGATAACTTTGAATTCAACTGTTTTAAGTTGCCTTGTTCTATTCCTCAGTTCAAAGACCACTCCCCCGGGTGCGCGCGTGTTGTGCATCATTTTAAAATTTTACACTATATTTTTTGCATCTACAATTCTACTTTTTGAGTTTACACAAATTTATCGACCATGGCAAGACTTCACCAATCCTCTATTTTCCTATTTTCTGGGTGTAGATACCGACAACAAGACCTAAATCTCCAAAGCTTGGTCGAAAAAAAAGTTCAAGTCCTTTGGACTCTGATGATACCAGCAATAGTGGTCACCAATCAGGTCGGCCAAGTCTGGGTGAGAGGCCATCGCAGAGCATCTCTGCTAAAGTAATTTCTCCTGTCCATGCTAAGATGCCACAGCGTAAATCCCTTCCCAAACTGCCTTCTCAGAAGACCAGTTTATCCAGTGCAAAAAATAAGGAAAAAGCATCAAAGGCACAAAATCAGGAAAAAGTAACTGCATTGAAAGCAACTACTGCAGGGAAGATAGCCTCTTCTAAAGCATCAAATGAGGAGAATCTGACATTATCCGGTGCAACAAATGAAGAGAGTTATCTCCGGTCCAACAGCAGGAGGTAGTTCCTACAACTGATTCAGGTGAAAGTAAGCTCGACATTGACCGAGGACGACTAGTGATCGAAGAGCAAGGACAACTGGAACTTGTACAAACAAGAGCCTATTGCACTGGAGCATTAAATCATGGCGATGGTTTTTAACCTTTAAAGCGGATGTTCATATACAAAGCTCTGGACTTCATTTTGCCTAAATAAGGACGCGTCTAAGACTGAATTATTTGAATGATCAAGGTATGAAAACTTCTACATGATAGCATATGGTGTTGTCTTCTCCCATATTCAGCAGCTTAGGTCGTTTAGGTTGTTGCTTGCAAAGGTTGATGTTATTAGGATTCTCCATTCCTGTTTGCAGCACTACTCTTATGTCGATCTTTTTACCAAATTGTCATAATTTGTGGTTTGAGGACGGGTTTGTTGAATATATTTTGTAAATTTTGGAGTAGTCTTTCGTCGTCGTTAGATAGTCCGTGATCGAGCAGGGTTTATCCGCTCCATGATCATCATTCGACGTGCCGTAAGTGACTTCAGGTAATACTCACTGTAGGGATAGTATTTATCATTCACTGCCAGAGAGTAGATATACTTGAATATTATTTCATACACCACTGGTTTATCACCCCGGGTGTTGTATATTTTATTATAATAACATTATATATTACAGTACAAAATTCAATTCAAAGAAATTCCCTTTGAACGAATAGTAAATTGTCATATATATATGCATACATGATACTTGTATTAACAGATTTTCCCCGTGATGGGAGAAATTGATGTTACGAAGAAAATGTGAGATCAACAGGTTTTAACAAGCGGCCGTGGTGAAATTGCAAGGGGGGGGGGGGGCATAGGGGAATCGGCCATGAGGTTGCTGCGGTGTGCAAGTATTAGCACCATTGATCTGATGTTCCTCCTCCTCCTCCTCCTCCTCCAGCTTCAGCATTCCATAGATACCAAGCATAAGATGCAATGACATGGCTGCAATTCACAATATTATTATCCCACCGGCTCCACCCATGTAAAATATTTACGGGAGAGCAGTTGGTCGTTTCAGTTAAAATATTTGAAAACTGGCTTAATCAAATTCATTCCATAGACCGTTGACAACTGTTGTTTCGGTGTAAAAATAAATTCCTTATTCTCAATAAATAAATAAAGGAAATAGTTAGTAAAAAAAAGTAAGGGTCGATTCTACAGGGACTTAGAAAATTAAATTTCTGTCTGATTTATTTATGACAGGCGTGAATCAGTAAAAATGGGGAAAAATTTTGGTAAAAAGATATTAAAATAATAAAAGCGATTAAATAAATAAAGGTAATTAAAGTAAAAATAAGAAGATGAAGATTGTGAATAAATTCGGTAAAAGTAGCCTCAAACTTCGCTTTGATTCAATTTCCTTATGATCATCGAATAAGATTTTCTTTTCGGGATTCACGTCGGTTACTTTGTCTACAAGGGTTATCCCCGTGACTCTATCTTGTATACCGAACACCCAAGGCAATCTTTGATTCCGACTTCGATAATTGATTCTAACGACATCAATTGTCGTAGATCAATTACCGTTTAAGTTCGTAGCGTCCGACTCGGATTGTTGCTTCTATAACCGTCAATTCTGATCTCAATTCCCTCTTGGCAAAATTATCTCGCCAAGTGTGTTCACAGGAAGTCGAATTGCTTTCTACAAGCCTAATATTCATCCCACACATTTAATCGCAACAACCTCTTGACCAAAGTCAATATTTGATTTTGAAAAATAAGCGCATAGATTGAGAGAGATATTCCGAAGATATTAAGGGACCGTTTCAATTCTCCCGTTGAAATTGAATCATCGCGACAGCTCTCGGATTTTGAAAAGTTTAGCTAAGCATAACAAAAATCATTCTTAGCATTTTGAAAACAAAGCTTGAAAATAAAAGAAAAAAGTGAAAAACTTGAAAAGTAAAAGGAGAAAACTTTAATAAAACTAGAGAGAAAAGAAGAATGTAATTTGAGTGATGAGTTTAGGCTTACCCCAAGTGGGTATTTATAGTCTCTCAAAGCTTAAAGGATAAGTAAAGAAAATAATACAAAAGATAATTGTTTTTAAATTTAAATTTAAACTTAAACTAGTCTCCTAATGCAACTCTACTCGTCAATCTTCTAGAAGGCGTGCGGATGAAGTCTTCTAGAAACCGCCGCTGACTGGACCTTCTAGAAACTGTCACGTCAGACCGCATCGTGCCCAGAGTCGTGTCCATGTCTCCAGCCGTGACCAAATAATACAAAAAATGCAGAATTCGCCCGTTTTATCACTAATTCTGGAAAGTAAGGACCTGCACGAAAATAGACATAACACAACCAAATCAACAACAATAACTCCACAAAATCGAAGAAATAACGAGTAAAGATTAACTATTCTGAACACTCATCAACCGTCAGTTTCTGTCGTTGACTGTTATGGTGCTGACGTGGTAGTCCATCTGTTATGTTTGAGTTACTAATTTAGTTCATTTGTACGCCACGCTATCCATCACTGTAGACCGTCATGTCAGCACCATAAAGGTCAACGAAGAAATATATTGGTTAAAGTATCATATTAGGCTTATTTTCTAAATTAGAAGGTCACGCCGAGAGAAAAAATAATACGAAAGCCACATTAATATTTTTTAAAATTAGATAGACATCATATACCTTTTAGCTTTAAAATTAATATCAGATCGATCGAGACCGGGTGATAAAAAATCTAACTCATCCTGTATCGTTGTCATCTCTAGTTTGAATTGAACTTTGTTCACTCAAATAGTTGATTGGTTCGATTAAAATATTTTAAAAATTGAGTTCATCTATCTGATTTGATAGAAAAATATTAATTAAATGATTTCAAACAAATTTTATCCACCCATATAAAAACAAGAAAAAGTGGATGGTCGTTTGATCGGTTAACAAATTGGAAATGAAACATTCAGAAAAAATATATATACCAATCGTTAGGTGAAGCTTTAAGAGCTCGATCAAAGTAAGATTGAGCCCTAGCTTCATCTCTATGGTTAGTCCATATTAAATCTCCATACATTGATAAAACTTCCCCATCATCTAGTTTCACCAAAACTGTTCTCTTATAATATTCTTCGGCTTTCAATATATCACCTCGAACCTATATTTAAAATATTCACTTTTGATATCAATTTAATAATACTATTAACAAGGGGTGATCAAGGATATAAAGAGACTAGGCATGAGATTTTTTTGGAAGGGGAGTGACACCCCAGCTAGAGGAGCTTGGGTTAGCTGGAGCCAGATTTGCAAGGGTTAAGGAACTTGATGGACTGGAGCAAAGCTTGTTGTTTATTGCTCATTAAGAAAATTCTAGCAGGAGAAGGCTCTCTCTGGAATTCTTGAGTTAATGCTTACTGTTTTATATTAGCTGATTTCTGGAATGTTGACTGTAAGATCCATTTCAGCTGGATTCTAGCAAAATTGTTTAAGTTAAGGAGTGAGGCTTGGAGGTTGTTTTGCTCTAGCAGCAACATGGCTCAAATTAAGGTCAGTTGGATATGGGATAACACTCGAAGTAGATTAGAGAAGGTTAGCTGGCATCGTCTTCTGTGGTTTCCAGGCCACATTCCTAAATTCTCATTAATCTCATGGATGACAATTTTAGACAAATTGCCTACAAAAGACAAGCTTGCAAGATTTGGTTTGACTGTTGAAGGTTAACTGGCATCGTCTTCTGTGGTTTCCAGGCCACATTCCTAAATTCTCATTAATCTCATGGATGACAATTTTAGACAAATTGCCTACAAAAGACAGGCTTGCAAGATTTGGTTTGACTGCTGACAATGGTTGTGTACTGTGTAACTTTGGTCTTGAGTCTCGCAATCACCTCTTCTCTAAGTGTGTATACGCGAAGGGTATATTGTGTGATGTTCTTCACTCTTGTGGTCTTACCCAAGAGCCCCTATGTTGGAGTGATAATCTCCAATGGATGTTGCAGAACCTCAAAGGCAAATCTCTTATAGTTCATATCCTCAAGCTGGCTGGGACTGGACTTGTTTACTACACTTGGGAGGAACGTAATCTCAGGCTTTTCAGAGGTTTGGCTCCGTCGATTAAAACTATTGTAAGTAGAATTAAAGATGTTGTGAGAATTAAATTGTATAGAACTCATATGAACATATTAGATGTTGTAAATTGGTAATTGTGTATAGCTTGGGGTTTGTTATAAATGTCTAGGGGATATATGTTGTGTAGCAGCTTGTCTGCTTCTTTTTGGATAAATAAATTTTGTTTATCCAAAAATAATAATAATATTATTAACCATAAAATAAACTTTTATCAATCTATAATTTTTTTGCAATACTATTAACCTATAATAGTCTTCAACTATTTATTATGTTCAAAACTCATCATTCTTTATTAAAATATTAGCAGTCATCTAAGTTGGGCATTAGCATACTGACTGAGGTATGATAGTCGTTCAAGATTATGAGATCATATTTTATCCTATATCACTCAATAAAGTACAACTCAGATTCCTGTCAATTTTTTAACAGAAAATGACGAGTTTGGAACATAATGAATAGTCGGGTGATCATTTTGTAACTTTCAATAGTAAAGGGACTAAAAAACAACTCCCTATAGTTGAAGGACTATTTTTTAAATTTTAATTATCGATGGACTTAATAAAGCAATATTTTATAATCAATGGACCATTTATATATTTTACCCTAGATTTTAATGGTGTTAATTATGTGAACTAGTTAAGATTAGTGGCAATATATTGGTTAGATTTTAAATTTAAACAAAATAGAGAGATCAAAACCATAATTGGACCTTTATGATTCTCACCTCTTTCAAGAATTTAGCATAGTTTGCAAGAAGAATGGTCTCTCCGGGTTAAGTTTCGATCATGTTTTGGTAATAATCATCAACCATGTGTTTTCCTTCACGGTAATCTCCAAACCCCTGAGCTGCACCACCCTTGCTACCGACATCGCCGCCGGCCAGCGACAACGTCGGTGAGCTGACACTATCAGCCCCTTCTTCCTTAAACGAATCATGAGCCCCTAAAGAACGAGTACTACTAAGCGGACTATTCTTCTTGGGGATCGCAGTTTGCCTCATGTTACCATCTGAGGGTGTTCTTTGCATCCTATTGTGTGACGAAGCCGTCACGGTAATCGGCTTCGACCGGTGACCCGACTCGGCCACCGCCGAGCCATGAGGAACGCACAGGATGGGTGTCGATGAGCTTCGTAGAAGCTTGTTTTTTCTCTGTGTTCTCTGGAACCCTTAGGGGTTTCAGAGAATGAAACAAAAGGAATGCATTAAAAGGGGGAAAAAAAAGAAACTTCAAGGTGATGAAACAGACAAGAAAACAACGTAGGAATATGTGTTTGTTTCTCGTGTTTCATTATATATGCATCTTCATGGTAGAGAAACAAGGGCATGACTTTTGCCCTATTTATCTGGTTGAAACGAAATGATCGGCGATTTCTTTGGCGTCCTTTTATGTATGTATATAACCCTATTTCTCTCTTCTTTCACGCTTAATTTAACCCTATTTCTCTCACATCATCTGCTATCTGTTTTCGGTTTTTAGTTTCTACTTACAACCCAATTACTCAATGTTAAAATTGGCAACAAGGCAGCGGGGTTCTTGTACTTCAAAAAAATCATGTTACCGTATTATTTTTCTTCTAATTTAGAAAATAATTTAAATTGATTCTTACATCAACGTTTTTTATCATTGACCGTTATAATACTAACAAAATGATCCGCTGATGTGACAATACAGGTTGGCAAATTAACATGATGAATAACATGAGATATTAACTAAATTAATAACTAAAATATATCAAATAAACTATCACATCAGTACAGTGAATCACCATATTAACACCATAAATTAACACGACAAAATTATAATGGTCAACGACAAAAATATTAATTAAAAAATCACATTAAATTTATTTTTTTAATTCAAAGGTCACATCAAAAAAATATGAATATCGATTTGCTTTTTTTTTTAATTAGGATAACCTCTGCTTCTTTTTTTTGTCCTCAAAATTTAAGTGATTCAAATTTTGTTTTTCCTGGTCTTAGAAGTTTATGTCATGATCCGTTGAAATAATAAAAAAATGAGTAAAAAATAAAGGATTTATAAATATATTTTTATTTACCTAAATCTATGTGTACGCCTTTTCCCTTAAAAAAATATTTATATATTCAAAATTCACTATCATAAATTTAAGAATATAGATATTGATTCATTAAAAAGTAAATCAGTTTTATTCAGTTTCATAGAATTTAACGGTATGGTTAATAACTACATTAAATATTAAAATAATCATTTTAAAAATAATTTTTTTAAATAATTTAAATAAATTAGATAACTCTCAATCTTTCAACATTTAACATTCACGTCATTAATATCTATGATGCTCGAACCGAATAAATTACTTAGTTCATGCTTTTGAAAAATAAATAAAGATACAGAAAACACAACTTCTTTACTTTCCTCTCGTTTTCCCTCTACAAAAATAACATAAATGTTAAATATACATTACATGAATATAAACATAGCTAAAATTGTCAAAAACACAGACAAAACCTGAGATTTTTGGACGTCATCCTCGTAAAGCCGCTAAATGATTTGTGCCCGATCTTCAGTTGATAAGCTAGAAGAAGCTCGAATATCATGGGCGATATAACTTATTCCCGCATTTGCATTTCCAGGAAAGGTGATAATAGATATCATCGTCACGTTCATCATGGCCTGAAGCTTTGGGTCTCCTTTTATATCATTAGGCTGAATAACCAGAGTCGCCATGCACGGCCTGCAACTCGAGCACTTGTTCACGCACCTTGGCGGCCTTGAACCCACCTGTAGCTTCTCTTTCTCATTGAAATTACCCGTTTCATAGCTCGAAAACCCCAACACAACTGCCGGAAAAAAAAACATCTAATTACAAATAAGCATTAAAGGAGTGGAACAAATGGCATGAACATTTATGCTCTTATTATCACCTGGTTTTGAAAGACAGAACAGCATGGAAGAGACGAAGATTGCAGCAATGGTAAGCTTGTTTTTATGGTAACATGATGGAGCTTCCATCAAGCTTTAACCTGGGTTTTTTCCTGAAACTTTTAGCTGTTGGCTATAGGAAGAACAACAGGGAAACCAATTGTCATGGAAGGCAAAGATTTGATTCAAGTGGATGAACATAAAGATTTGATGGTTTATTGCAGGTTAGCATAAAAGACAAAACATATGTCTTAAGGGTGTTTGGTTCAAGGATTAATGTTTGGTTGGTCGGGAATTTCATTCTTGGTAATGTTTTATTACCAATAATATATTTTTTGGATATATTACCGGAAATGTCATTACCTCTATTCCCTTAGGTATTGTAACATTACCGGCGTTTTGGACTAAAATACCCTTAAATTTTTATTTTTTAAAAAAAAATATCATTCTTCTGTCATTGAATAATAAAAATTCTACGAAGATTAAATTACAAATTTATCCTTAAATTATTTTAGATTTACAAAAAAAAATCTATAATTAAAATTTTATATAAAGTTCAGGAATTACAAATTTTTTTATCCTTTCATTAAACATTTTTTATATTTTTATTTTTGTAAAAAAAATTATATAAATATTATGAATTTAATTTTTTTAAAGAAAATATATAAATATTTTACAATTAGTAATATTATACAAATATATAATAAGGAAAATTTGGTCAAATATACATTTCAATAATCTTTTATTCCTTTAACCAAACACAATAATCTTACATTCCTGTTAAATCAACCAAACACAATAATCTTACATTCCTGTTAAACCAACCAAACACAAAATACAGCATTCCCAGTAATCCTATTCCCTGGTAATCTTTTATTCCCACAAGTAATCTTTTATTCTAACTAATAATCCTACATTCCGTACACCAAACAAAAAATGATCCGAGAAAATTTTTGGCAATAGGAAAGTGAAAGTCACACAAAATAAGTTAAATCTTGCTTCAGTACTGATGTAACAATTGTGTTCTACTGTTGTTGACAGCAACTCTGTATACAAAACTGTTTTGATTTGTAAGATATTGTCCGATTCCAGACGCTAGTTTATAAGTACCTATTGATGATTGATGGTTCGAGACAAAACATACATTGATTGAACTAGAACTAATTCTTACTCCTGCAAATCTTTGATGTGCATGAATTCTATAGCAAGGCTTAAGCTTTTAACATTTATGAGATGATATGAGTGGGAATCAAGCATGAGTGCAATCTGCAAGGCCAAGAAAGAAGAGTACAAGTGAAAAGAAATGATATAGAGTGAAGTCATTGATTTATCCAAGCAAAAGACCAAAACCCCTTCGGTGATTTGATCAACACTTTTTAACTGAATATCTCTCTATTTAGCATTGTTGATTTATCCAAGCAAAATACCAAACTCCTACGATTTGATCAAATTGACACCCTTTAACCGAATATCTCCCTTTTTAGTATTGTTTGTTCTATATTTCTCGAAGTGGCACCCTTTTGACTAAGGTGACGAAAGGCGCATCCCCGGGAACGCGTTTTACCTTTATTTTGCTGATTCAGTTGCCACGTGTGAAAGGCGCATGCCCGAGGACCCGCCTTTCATTAAATGTTTTAAATGCCCATTCAATTTTTCCCCAACTACCCCTCCTCCTCCCCTATATAAACCCTCTCAACCCCCCTCATTCTTCACACCAAAATATTTTTTTCCTTTCTTATATAACTCAAATTCTCCAAATCTTTGAGTTTTAAATTTCTTATTAGTGGTAAGAAATTTATTTTTCAGTTATTTTTTTAAAATAGTTATTATATTTTATATTAATATAAATATTTTTTGAATTAAAATAATATTTATAATTATTATTATTTAAATTTATTAATTAATTATTTTTTGTGCTATTATTTTTGTCTACAGTTATAATGAAAAGTGAAATGCTGCTGCGATTGGATGCTGACCATATCTCCAGACATTTTAGCGATATGGTATATTTTTTATAATTAATGTTAATATTATTATTATGTTTAATTTAAATTTATTATGAATTTATATTAATTTAATTTTATAATGTATATTATTTAGGATATTGATCGTATTTTAGAGACATTTATTAAAAATCCACATATACCGACACCGGAACGTATTTTGCCATTTTGGCTTCTGCGGGTTCGGATATATTGCAACAATCATTGGCGGTTGCAAACTC